TAACAATAATGCAATTAATATTTTCTATACCGTGTCTTTCAATGATGACTCACAAACACACGCGTTAAGTTTGTCACCCTAACTAAGAATTATCGAGCTAGATTCATTTACAGCTAAACAATATCGAAGTAACGCCATGAAAATTATTATTATTTTATTATTATTTTATGAAAATAAACAACAAACAAACAATACACACTCACACACACACCATACTATGTGTATGTGTGTGTTGTTAACATTATTATTAACATTATTATTGTTCTTACCATTAGTGGCTCCTGGTTTTAGTGGGATTTTTATTTATAGTAAATATTTTTATGCTTACAGGTCGTACGTCTTAACCTTTCTTTCTTTAATGAACAACAAGCAAACAAACAACACACACACACACGCGCGCACATACACACACACACAAACACACACACACACACAAACTTGATGATGAATATCGTTAGCCGTTAAAGTTCCGTTCTTAATTTTATTAAAATGAAACTTATTTTTGAAAACATACTTGCACGTATAAACAGAAACAAATAAAAGAAGAAGTACACACACACATACACACAAACAAAAACACGTGCATACACACAAACAAACACACACACAAACAAACACACGCACATCAAACAATGTATCTATAAAGAGCAAATTTATTAAAATAACGAAATAAACTTCTTTGTGAATAAACATTTTAATCGAACCTACTCACTCAACTACAAAAGAACACACGCACACACGCACACACACACACGTACACATTCACGTACACAAACACACGCACGCACGCACAGGACCATCATTCCCCTCGCCTCCTCATCCGTGTGACCTTCAAGAACATGACATTTGACCTCGATGTGTCACTCAACACGTTTGTTTTCTTTGTTCTGCTTTAATATATAATAATAATATTGTTATTATTATAATAATAATAAAAACACTAATAATAATAATATTATTATTATTATAGATGTTTTTATTATTATAGAGGTTGTTTTTTTCTTGTTGACGATAATTTTGTTCTGCACGCAATGTGAAAATAGAAATTTCATCGCCCGCTCTTCTTAGCACCTACTCTAATTCGCAGAGTATCTCAGTCATCATTATTATTATTAATGTTATTATAACTATAATTATTATTATTAAATTATTATTATTATTATTAATACAATGCAAGAGAAATAAATACTCAAATAATTTGCATTGTTGTTTAAATAAAGACTATGAACATTGTTCAATAGTTATAAACTCATTCGAAATAACGCCTATTGGTTTTTACAATAATTTTAATTTGTCACTGTTTAAAGTTCCATGGCTATCATATAATGATAAATTGATAAACACTGTTATAAGATTATCGTATGATATTTACTGTGACAGGAACAAGCTATGATGCTAATTAAATATATTTCACCGTTCTGCACTTAACTTCACAATGAGCAAAATGGTCTTAACCTTTAATATTATTTTATACAATTTTTAAAAATTTTATCATTGCGCATTATTTAATTAACATTAACTTATATATATATATATATATATATATATATATATATATATATATATATATATATATATATATATATATATATATATATATATATATATATATATATATATGTAAAAATATAAGATGTTCCCATTATTATTATCATCATCATCATAGAGGCCTTCTCTCGTCAACGTACAAAGAGTTTTATATCAGAAACAACACCGTGCACCGATGGCACTCCAACCAGGTTCATTCATACCACTGCCGCTATTAATGTTACTGCCGCTACTTCTACTACTGCTGCTGCTGCTGCTACTGCCGCTACTTCTACTACTACTGCTTTTGCTACTGATAATAATAATAAAAATAATAATAATGAAAATAATAATCAGACAGAGACATTTTGCTACTACATTGGAAATGTCCTAGACAGGCCTTCAACATCGTCTGTGGCACTGAGCACTTGCTCTGGTGTCAAGTTTGTAGCCTTCCAATACAATTTCTTACTAATCACTTACCATTACTTATTACTAATTACTTAATTCTTACCATTCACTGGTGTGTCTAATATTTTTACTCAAGTATTGTTTGTCAGTTATCCAATCTCCAGGTTACTCATGCTTGTAAGATTTTTATTCAATTAATTTTCATTTGCTTTTGTTTTATTTCATTGAGAATTATGTCTTTATGAGAATTAAATAAATTAAAATTATTCATATTTAAGACTGTACAATACAACACGGTACAACACAATATAGAGCAATACAATTCGATACACTGCTATACGATTCGATACACATGCAATACAATACAACATAAAATGATACAAAACAAGACCATGTAACGAAACAAAACGAGACGAAAATACCAAACGATATGACAGAGGTTTTTTCAGTGTTGACGGCCAAACGTACCACATAACGCCAATCTATCTGAACGGATCAACCAGCCAAGTTACCAGTTATAAGATATCAAGAGATGTTGATTATCCAAAAGAAAAGAAGTTTTGTGGTGCGTGTGTGCGTGTTTGTATGTGTGTGTTTTGTGTGTGTGTGTGTGTGTGTGTGGTTGTTATCTGTGTGTTTGTGTGTGTGTATGTTTATATGGTGTAATTCAATTTTTTAAAAGATAAAATTACCCATATTATTTTACCACCACTCGTTTAAAAATGGCTAAATTGTCATCATCATCTTTGTCGTCAACTTGACTATCATCGTCTTCTCTACCTCTCTCATCTTCTCTACTTCTTTACGTCTCTCATTCATTACCTCCTCTCTCCATCATCATCAACATTATCATCACACCATAATTCATAATCATGAGTACAATTATTTCCAAAATAAACTCACCCCACCAACCACAACACAGGCGTCTCAGAGATGACAGAAAAATTGAAGGAGTCGTTACAAATGAACGGTGTACATCCAAGGGTAAGACAATTTTTTGTACGGTATTTGCCATCTTCAATTTCTTCTGTTTGGGTACTACTCTATGAATGCTGAAAAATCAGAGTGTATTATTTTTGTCGTGTGTGTTTGCACGTGTTTGTGTATGTGTATGTGTGTGTGTGTGTGTGTGTGACTGTGCGTGTGTGTGTGTGTGTGTGTGTAAGACTCTAAAAATCTGTGTGTGTGTGTGCGCGTGTGACTGTGTGTGTATGAACTGTGTGTGTGTGTTATGTGTGTGCAAATACTACTACTTAACGTATTTTTCACTTATGGCACTTGATGCAATACAAAATTTAGCGCCTCTAACAATCACACCATCAGAAATATAACTAACTAATTTTAAATTTAATTAGAAATAATTTTAATTAAATTCAATTAGAAGTTTTTCTTAATTAAGTTTAATTAATTGACTCATTAGTTCAAGAGACAATCGGCTCCAACCAGTTCAATGAGTGATAAACTTATAATGGAACTTTACATATGCAATGACTACGCCAGGGTCCGTCGCTTATTATTATTATATATTATAATATTATTTCGAATTAATTATGATATTAATAACTTTAAATAAATATTTACTCATGTTATTATCATTATCATTATTATTTTTATTATTACTATTTGAATTTTCAAGGGATTAATAGACAGCAACTAGATGTTTTCATATTGTTATGGTATTGGTTAATATTATTATTACTACTGTTGTTATTATTATTATTATTATTATTGTTGTTGTTCTTAGGTTATAATTAATTATTGTTCTTTGCAGTACAAATTATCGTCCTTCAGTCGAAGCATGGTCTTCCAGAGCACCAAGGAGATTGTAAATGCGGCTAACCTGGTTCGTCTGCATGAACGAATGAATGAATGGATAGATGGATGGGTGAATGAATGAATGATTGGATGGATGGATAGATGGATTGATGAATGGATTGATGGATGGATGGATAGGTAGATAAATAGATAAATAGATGGATGTATGTATGGATGGATGGAAAAATAGATGGATGTATGGATGGATGGATGGATGGATGGATGGATGGATGGATGGATGGATGGATGGATGGATGGATGGATGGATGGATGGATGGATGGATGGATGGATGGATGGATGGATAGATGGATGGATGGATAGATAAATGAATAGATTGTTGGATGGATGAATGAATGAATTCATATTTTTTTATCATTAACCACATTATTTTATCATCATCATTTTCACAAATTTTAAACTTTTATCTCCTTGTTGACATCATCATCTTTATCACACACACACACGCACACACACACAAACGCACTCAGACGTGAACACACACACACGCACGGACAAACACACAGTTATTCCAAACGGTCGGCATGTACGTAGTGTTAGTTGGCACCGAAATTTGGGAGGACAAAGACCAAATAACAGTCGATGCAGACTCAAATCTCACCTTAAAAAATTACCAGTCTTACAGTTTTCTAACTCTACAGACTCGAGCTAAATTTGATGTCACATTCTTAATATCGTAAGTAGATGTTGTTGTTGTTTGTTGTTGTTGTTGGTGTTGTTAGTGTTGTTGTTGTTATCACCTGTTGACGTTATTAAGCAGTTGTCGTTGTTGTTGTTGTGTTTGTAGTTTCATGTCAGCAATCTCAGTAAGAAAGAGACATTCGAACAACAACAACACAACAAACATAACATACAAGTATTAGCAACAACCGAACATGCAAATATATAATACATACAAACAATACAAACAAACAAAGGCAACGTTAACATTTTCAGAAAAGTGAATTTCAACGGTGCTGTTTTAGGGTACGCTCCTGTCTCGTCTATGTGCTCTTCAACGAATTCTAACGGAATAATGACGGTATGTTTGTTGTTGTTTCTGTTGTTGTTCTTTGCTGTTTATGTTTTGTTGTTCTTTGTTGTTCATTTGTTGCTGTTCTTTGTTGTTCATTTGATGTTGTTGTTCGTTAGTTGTTTATGTTGTTGCTCATTTGTTGTTGTTGTTTATATTTTAACACGTGTACATAATGTGCATAAATACAGTTCAACCATTTTTATTCTTTTCTATTCGTCTCTTCATCTTTTCATTTCTTCATTCTTCATGCTTACTTTCTTTTGACCATAATTTATTTATCCATTCATCAATCATCCATCCATCATTCATTCATCTCTCCATCCATTATTCATTCATTCATCAGGCCATAGGGACGAACGTGGGAGTTTCGGGGGCGATATTGGCCCACGAGATGGGGCACAATCTGGGTCTTTCCCACGATTCCGACTCGTGCTTCTGCGATACGAAGGATGTCACGTGCATCATGTACTCTCAGGCTTCGTTAGTCTATTGTTGTTCGTTGATCATATCGTTACGTAAACTACAGCAACAACATAAACAACAATGCCATGTTACAAACAACAATCGCAACAACAACAACAATTGCAACAACAACAACAATCGCAACAACAACAACAATTGCAACAACAACAACAATCGCAACAACAACAACAATTGCAACAACAACAACAATCGCAACAACAACAAAAATCGCAATCGCAACAACAACAACAATTTCGTATAGGACCCAAAGACCATCTAGATCCTTCTCTTCCTGCTCCAAAGACCAGCTGGCAGTCAGCCTCACGAAAAAAGGTCTAGACATCTGCCTAAAGAACATTCCGGATACAATTTTCGACAGTGTGCCGGTCTGCGGGAATGGATTTGTAGAAAGCGGAGAGACATGTGACTGCGGGAGAGCTACGAACCAGGTTGGTACAACTGCTTGCATGATACACACTCCCACACGACACACTTACACACACACACTTACACACACACACACACACACACACACACACACACACACACACATACTAACACAGGACACACACACACACACATACATACTCACACTTCACACACAAACACAGGCCACACACAAACACACACATCACCACACACAAACACACACAAACAAACACACACAAACACACACATCACCGCACACATGCACACATACTTTCACACACACATACTTTCTCTCTCACACACACACACACACACGACACAGTTCTGCAACAACGATTGTTGCAACGCAACGACATGCCAACTCATCAAGACGGCACAGTGTGCCTCTGGCGGTTGTTGCAATGTCGACAAGTGCACTCTGAAGTCTCTCGGAACTGTTTGCAGAGGTAGGTGGAGGTTTTATTCTAATTTAATTTAATCGAGTTTTAAAATAAATTTATTCCTATTATCTACAATAATTAATTAAGTATTAATAATAATTAATACGAGTGCTATGATTATTGGATAAATATTAAATAAAATTGTGTAACCAACCGTAACTTCCAATTAGGTAAATGTTATATCAAATCGCATGTAAAAGTTTCACCATATAAACGCTACACAAAAGTTATACTAAACTACACAAACGTTTTACAAACATTTAGACGCAAATTTCCCACACAGGCCCTAAAGATCCCATCTGCGACCTGCCAGAATACTGTGACGGGTCATCCTTTCTGTGTCCACTGGACGTTTTCACACATGAGGGGGTGCCCTGCAAGGCCTCCAATGTCGGTTTTTTACTTTTTTTTACCCCTTAACAATTTTCATTACCCCTCTACTCCTTTTTTACTGTTTGGCCGCTTTTTATTCTTGTTTCTTTCTACTCTTTTTGCTTCTTTAGGCTAAATGTTTCGTCCGAAATCGTTAAATTGATAAAGTTTATGAAATTATTTAAAAAAAATTAATTGTAAGCATCCATCCAGTCAATCTAGCTTTGTTTTAATAGCATTTATTTTAATAAGCAATTAATTTTAGATAGGTTATAAATATAAATTTTTGGTTTTATGGGCTTCTGGTTTTACCTTAAATAAATAAATGAATAAAAAAAAAACAAATAAAAAAAAAATAAATAAAAAATAAATATTGACCACGGGATGAAACTTTGTGAAATTTGGTTAGATGGACGGCTACTGTAGTAGCGGCCAGTGCCACAACCACCTCTCTCAGTGCCAGATTTTGTTCGGCCCAGCAGCCGCGACCAGTGACGCCTCCTGCTACAAGCAGAACACCAGGGGTGATATAAATGGGTTTTGCGATTATAAACCGTCGACCACAGATAGCGGAAAGTTTACATACAGTGCATGTGACGACCAGTTAGTTGTGTGGCGTGGCGTGATGTGGTGTGGCGTGGTGTGGTGTGGTATGGTATGGCGTGGTGTGGTATGGTGTGGTATGGTGTGGGATGTGTCGTTAACTGGGTATTAATTATTTTTTTTTGGGTGGGGTGACTTTTTTTTCTGTCTGTCTAGTTACTGTATGCATCAACGTCGTCTTTGTTTATGTACTGTAAACTGTTATTCTTATTTATACTCTGTTTAATTTATATCTGCAGAACATACACTCATGCCAAAACACACACGTACATACACACACACACACGTACACACACGTACAAACACACACACACGTGAACACGCACACACTCTTTAGAGATTATATGTGTGGGTTTTTAATCTGTGAAGCACCGTCCAATGAACTTGTGTACTACCAGCAAACAGCC